CTGGTCACAAAACAATGTAATTACACCTAATTCTCCTGAACTGTACACTTAGAAATGGTTAGATTAATTTTATGTTCCACCCTTTTACCACAATAAAAAATAATTTAAAAACTCAATAAGTATCAGTGTACAAAAGAAACCAGACAGCAAAGCATATATACTGTTTGATTCATTTACATAGAGTTCAAAACCAATCAGTGGTGACAGATGGCAGTTTAGTTGTTACTCTCGGGAAGGAGTATTGACAGGGAAGGAACAAGAGAGAACAATGTGGTGTGATGAAACCGACCTAGGTCCGTAACTGGGTATGATAACACAGGTACAGGAGCATAAGCATTCATCCAGCTCTCAGATTCAGACAACTCACAGTATGTCTCTAAAACAGGAATTAGAAAGAAAGTAACTTTAGAGACACTAAAAAGAGAGTGACTGCCAAGAATGTGAGAGGATGGAGTGAGGGGAATGGGTGGAGCCTCAGGGGTTTTTAAGGCAGTGAAACTAACTAATATCCTAACGATGGAGACATGACATTATGCATTTGTCAAATCCGTAGAACGTATAACACAAACTGAACCTCAGTGTAAACTACAGTGAGTCCTCAGTGCTGTCCAGTGGCTCCCAGTGGCTCTTGGAAACTGCATAGCCATATTATTGCAGGTTCTCCAATACTATGGTTTCGCTCGCTGTAGTTTTAGTATAATGATGAGAAAAAAAACTGGTCTCATTATATGTCATTTCACTTAAAATTGCAGTTTCTGAGAACCTATTAATGACACTGAGAACTTACAGTATAGACTGTTATTAATAATAATGTATCAATATTGGCTAATTAATTGAAACAAATATACTGCGTTAATACAAGGTGTTAATAATAGAGAAAACTGTATGGAGGAGGGAAGGGTGTGTGGGAACACTTCTGTACTAGCTACATGATTTTTTGGTAACTAAAACTGTTCTGAAAATAGCCTATTAATTATTTTTAAAGTGCATAGACATACATAAATTGTATATATACACACACACACACAATTTTTTGTTGTTGCTGTTTGAGATGGAGTCTCACTCTGTCACTCAAGCTGGAGCACAGTGGCACCATCTCAGCTCACTGCAACCTCTGCCTCCTGGGTTCAAGAGATTCTCCTGCCTCAGCCTCCCGAGTAGCTGGGACCACAGGCAGACACCACCACGCCCAGCTAATTTTTGTATTTTTAGTAGAAACAGCATTTCACCATGTCAGTCAGGCTAGTCTCGAACTCCTGACCTCAAGTGATCTGCCTGCCTCAGCCTCCCAAAGCGCTGGGATTACAGGAGTGAGCCACCATGCCCAGCCACACACACACATTTCTATAGGAGTGTGTGTGTGTGTGTGTATACTATAATATATATAATGTATAATATATACATATTATTAATATATATGTATGATATATACATACACATTAAGTGTGCATATATATGCATATATAATATACATATATATTATATATACCTATATACACACAATATAAATATACATATTATATATAGTATATACACTTTTATATATGTATATATTATATATGTATATTATATATGCATATATATATGCACACATAACATACCACCTTACAAAATATAGCTGTCTCACAATCAATAAAAGAACCAGAAAAAAGCAGAAGAGTGAGGAAAAGACACTAACTCTGTGAAAGCCGTTGTCTGCACATGGAGGGTGCATTGGTGATTGTTTCCTCTCCACAATGCACTCTTCGCTATGTTCCAAGTAGCTACAATAAATGGGTATTATCTCATAATGGAAAAATACTCCTCTTCCCCTCTTTTTTAAAGCCTCAAATGCTCTGTTGAAACCAGAGGAGCAGAAAGCAGGCACACACCTAATTCAGTACATGATCTTCTTTTTCAGCCTGTCCAAAGTCAGGAGCTCACTCCTCCTCTCCCTCCCACTCTCCTCTCTGTGTTTACTTCCTGCCAAAGATAAATAATGAGTCAGAAGCAGGAAAAGGAGGCGGAGGCTGCTCTCAGCTCTGCCTGACACACCCTGTTTGGGCAGGAGCATAGGAATTGATCTTAGAGTCCACCAAAGTTTGGAAGGAACAGAGAAGGCCGCTTAGGAAACGCAGGGCTGGGTCTTTAAGAGCTGGCCCCAGCCAATGCGCAAAAAGCTCAGATCTTTTTGAGTTTTCTTTTTTCTATTTCTAAGATCTGACCCAGTTTATAGGAAAATTAAGTTTTAAGGATTGACCAAGGTTGACTTTCTAATTCTGGAGACCACAACACAAATACTTTCAGACACCTGTGAGAGTGAGTTATGAGACTGGGTTTCAGGCAGCATCAACGCAGGCTGGATCCTAGTCCTCACCCTGTCATATTATGTCTGTGTGACCTCGGACAAGTTCCTTAACCTCTCTGAGCCCTGATTTCCTCTTATGGGCCCCTTAGGTCATCTACAGCCATACACAGAGCTGCCAGATGAGGTGATATGTGTGGCCCTGGGCCCAATGCTCAGCTTGCAGCAGACCAGTTCCACAAATGACAGTGAAAGGAAGGAGTAAGAAACATCCTGGCCTTTGATTTATAGCCCATTTATTTCATTGTTTCAAACCATCTTTCTTCTCTCTTTTTTTTTTTTTTTGACACAGTCTCGCTCTGTCACCAGGCTGGAGTACAGTGGTGCGATCTTGGCTCACTGTAACCTCCTCTCCCTGAGTTCAAGCGATTCTCCTTCCTGAGCCTCCCGAGTAGCTGGGGCTACAGGTGCATACCACCAGGCCGGGCTAATTTTTGTATTTTTAGTAGCACGGCGTTTCACCATATTGACCAGGTTGGTCTCAAACTCCTGACCTTGTGATCTGCCTGCCTCAGCCTCCCAAAGTGCTGGGATTCATGGCAACCAGCCTCAAACCAATCACTGCCCCTGCCTTTACCTTCGGAACACTTTCCTTGCATGCATAAGCCCTTGTTTGTTTTATTTTATTTATTTTATTTTATTTTTGAGATGGAGCCTCACTCTTGTCACCCAGCTGGAGTGCGGCGGCACGATGCTCGTCACCATGCCCAGCTAACTTTTGTATTTTTAATAGAGACGGGGTTTCACCAGGTTGACCAGACTGGTCCTGAACTCCTGACCTCACGTGATCTGCCTGCCTTGGCCTCTCAAAGTGCTGGGATTATAGGCATGACGCACTGTGCCTGGCCCAGCCCTTGTTTAAAAGCAAACAAGCCACAAAGTACTTCCCTAGCTTCCTGTTACTTGCAGGATAAAATCTCAACCCCTCACCTGACTGACAGATTCTCCTCATTCCTTGTTTTCAGTGAACGTCCACTGCCTTGGTCTGCACTCACTTCCTGCTCAGCCCTAGAGAGGTCCAGTTCAGGAATTCTGCCCCTCCTGGAATGGCCCCTAGAGCCTGCCCCTTTCACTCAAGCTCCCTCCATCCCTACTAGGAGACCCTCTTTGTCCACTCCAGCCCTCAGGGAAGGCTTCTTCTGAGCCCCAATAGCACTGGGCGGAGGCGGTCACTCAGCTGCGTGGCAGAATGCAGCAGTCCTCATTGCGTGGTCCCTGGACCAGCGGCACTAATCGTGGTAACTTGTTGGAAATGCTCCGTCCCAGGCCTCACCACAGACTGGCTGCATCAGAGCCTCTGGAGGTGAGGCCCAGCAATCTGTGTCTTAATCAGCCTTGCAGGTGATCTTCATGCCCACTCAAGTTGGAGAACCATCAGGTAACAGCTAAGACTCCAGGCTGTTCAGTTTCCACTCTCCTTCATTCGGTGACAAAGTGAGACAGGGTATGGACGGGACTGGGCCCCCACCTGGACTCTACCAGACCTTGCATACCCCATCTGGTGCCATCTTTGTTGACCAAGAGACCTTGAAGAAGCGAAGGTAAGCAGCATTCACCATAATCTTACTCAAGGGAGTGAATTCTGTGGCCCGCATGCACACAAGTCCAGAAGAACGACCCATCTTCACCCCTTGCCTCATTATAATACTGAAATACCCACCCAGGTGGGGCTTATCTGCCATTTTTGGGGTTTTGTTTGTTTTATAAGCTTTCATTTTAAGTTCAGGGGTACATGTGCAGGTTTATTACATAGGTGAACTCGTTCATGGGGGTTTGTCGTAGAGATTATTTCAGTGGCCAGGTATTAAGCCTAGTGCCCATTAGTTAGTTTTCCTGATCCTCTGCCTCTTCCCAGCTTCCTCCCTCCCACAGGCCCCAGTGTCTGTTGTTCCCCTCTATGTGTCCATGTGTTCTCATCATGTAGCTCCCATGTATGAGTGAAAACATGCAGTGTTTGGTTTTCTGTTCCTGTGTTAGTTTACTAAGGATAATGACCTCCAGCTCCAACCAGGTCACTGCATCTCTGCCATTTTTTGATCATGCAATATGTGGCCTAATACGCTCTTTCACCGCCCATGCCCTCTGTGCTCTACCCTGCGTATGTAACGACATTCCTCATGCTTGTTCACGTCACCCTTTTTTTTTCTTGGAGACGGAGTCTTGCTCTGTCACCCAGGCTGGAGGGCGGTGTGGCGCTATCTCAGCTTATTGCAAGCCCCACGTCCGGAGTTCAAGCAATTTTTCCTGCTTCTGAGCCTGCCTCAGCCTACCGAGTAGCTGGGACTACAGGCGCATGCTGCCATATCCAGTAGAGACGGGGTTTCACCGTGTTGCCTGAGCTGGTCTCGAACTCCTGAGCTCAAGCAATCCACCCGCCTGCTTTGGCTTCCCAAAGTGCTGGGAGCACAGGCATGAGCAACCACACCTGGCCCACCCGTCTTAAAACACCAAAAATACCTGTCCTCGGGGAGCCAGCTGGAGAACTCCGCTCCAGTGCTACCTCCCTTGTGTTCAAACATAAGCACCTGACAAAGCCTTGTTTGGAAAATTTGCTTGGTCTTGTGTCAATTGCCATTGCTGAGAGCCTAAGCACTGTGGTCAGTAATCAAAGGCTCCAGGAATTCAGCTAGGAATCCCTCAGGGGCACTCCCTGCCTGCGTCTCACTCCCTGAGAAAAGCCAGTCATCTCTGAAACACTGCCCTTGGCCCTTCTCGGAAGGAGGAGCAAGTATGACACGGAAGCACAGGAAATGGCCAATGTCCAACCATTTTTGACCTACCTAAATGGCCATTTCTCTGGTACAATCTAATATTAAAGTTCCATTATCTGGCAAAAGGAAAAAGCTGTTCAGTCACTGGTTGGTGATATCTGAGGAGGGCGGACCCAGGACCAGTCCAAACTGGACATCCAGGTCAGCTGTACCGGTGTGGACACTGCTGAGCAAGAAAGAGGTACTGCTGCGGTTAAGCCTCACCCTAGGAGGCTGGGATCATTCTCCCTCAAGAACCCAGGAGCCTGCGCAGGGATGGTCATCAGGGAGGCACCTCCCAGACGCCGGGCAGTTGAACCACGCTGGGCTAAGTTACAACAGCGACACCACGTGGCAACCGGAAAGCAAGGCAGTTGAACTGATGGGACCCCACACTCTTCCTATGGAAGAAATTACCTGCTTTGGGGATGTGTAGACCCCATGTTCTAGCATAATTTGGAGGGAGTGAAGAGCCTCAAGGAGAAACAATGGACTCCCTACTTCTAAGGTAGATTATATCATGCTACAAGCCTCAGTTTCCTCATCCGTAGAGTGGAGACAATGCCTGGGCAGAGGGACGATCTCTGGGAATATAACCCGTGCATTCTCCCTATTCCTTCCATTGCTCCATGCCCAGCAGGTGGCCACTGCAGGCCCTTCTGTGTTTTCTGCTTCTGGAGTTTTTCCAAGTAGAAAACAGAAAGAGTTGCAGGTCAATGGATCTTCCCACCTTTTGTAAAGGCTTACATCCTCTGAAGAGAAAATGCCAGTTGTCCAATGAGGCCGAGGGACAGATGCCTCAAGGTCAATGCGCCTGACAGTGGAGAGAAAGGGCCCTGGACAGTGGGGAATCTCTGAGAGTCCCTCTCTACCTCTAGACCATGTCCTTGTGCTCAGAGGGCAATAAGCCGGGAGGGTGCTCGAGGAAACAGCCAAGGGGCTCCCAGAGCCTCACCAGAGATTTCTTCCTGCCTGCAGTGGCAGAGAAGCAGAGCACGGTGTTCACCGGTATCACAGGGAAGGTGCTGGGGTTGGGGAGGGAATGGATGATGGCCTCAATGCATCAGGATCTGGAGAAGGGATTCTGAAGGATGGCTGCCCTGGGTGATATGGTTTGGCTGTGTCCTCATCCAAATCTCATCTTGAATTCTCACGTGTTGCGGGAGGGACCCAGTGGGAGGTGGTTGAGTCATGAGGGCTGGTCTCAAACTCCCTGCACCAGCTCTCTTTTCTTTGCCTGCTGCCATCCACATAAGATGTGACTTGCTCCTCCTTGCCTTCTGCTATGATTGTGAGGCCTCCCCAGCCACGTGGAACTGTGAGTTCTTCATTAAACCTCTTTTCTTTGTAAACTGCCTAGAGTTAGGTATGTCCTTATCAGCAGTGTGAAAATGGACTAATACACGGGGGGTACTCACCAGCCTGGCAGAGTAAGGACTCAGGATCGGAACTGAATACATTATAAAAAAATGCAATGGGGCCAGGGGTGGTGGCTCACGCCTGTAATCCCAGCACTTTGGGCGGCCAAGGCAGGCAGATCACTAGGTCAGGAGATCAAGACCATATTGACCAACTTGGTAAAACTCTGTCTCAACTAAAAATACAAAAATTAGCTGGGCCTGGTGGCATGTGCCCGTAATCCTAGCTACTCGGGAGACTGAGGCAGGAGAATTGCTTGAACCAGGGAGTCAGAGGTTGCAGTGAGCTGAGATTGTGCCACTGCACTCCAGCCTGGCAACAGAGTGAAACTCCGTCTCAAAAAAAAAAAAAAAAAAAAAAAATGCAGTGATCTATTGCTCACACAGAGCATTTGGCACAGTGCTGGCACCCATACTGAAATGAACGTTAAATGCTCTTTAGCCTTCTTGGTGATGCCAAGGACGAGTGACTCACTGAAACTGCACACAGGAGAGCCTGCTCAGCCAGGAGCGATGGACTCAGGGCTGGACTCAGGACTGGACTGACTGTCAGCCCTTGCAGAGTAGGGGGCCTGTTCCTTCTTGATAGATGGATTCTGAGTTAATACAGGGCCTTGCACTGTAGACACACATTTATGGAGGAGAGTCATGTTTTTAATTCTGAACAAGAAACCGCTTTTTTGAGCATGTTCTTGGAAGGAACCTCTTTTTTTTTTTTTTTGAGATTGAGTATCCCTCTGTCATCCAGGCTGGAGTGCAGTGGCGCAATCTCGGCTCACCACAGCCTCCAACTCCCAGGCTCAAGTGATTCTCCTGCCTCAGCCTCCCGGGTAGCTGGGATTACAGGCACACGCCACCACGCCCAGCTAATTCTTGTATTTTTAGTAGAGACGGGGTTTCACCATGTTGGTCAGGATGGTCTTGATCTCCTGACCTTGAGATCCACACGCCTTGGCTTCCCAAAGTGTTGGGATTACAGGTGTGAGCCACTGTGCCTGACCAAAAGGCACCTTTTTTATGCTCAATTTGCATGCCAATGAGACGCCATTCTTCCAGGAAAAATAATAATTGACTAAAGCTGGGGAACAAGCAACAAAAGCCCTTTGAGCTGCTGCTACTCTTCAGTCCAGCTGTGACACAGGCCTCTTAGGAGATCCCAGACCTCACCAGGAGGGAGACAGAAGAGCTGGACCCCAGGCCTCAGCCAGAGTGGCTTCCCTTGTGTGGGATTCCAGAAAAGACAAATCCTTTCACTAGCTTCATAGTCATCTGGAGCCAATTTAGAGGTCTCATTAGAACCGAAGACTAAAACCTTTGTCCTGTGACCCTGATGAAAAGTTCATAGAAATGGAACAGCCATGGGGGTCTGGGGAGGTAAAGGAGACACCATCTTCAGCAGAGAAGAGAGATCAAATGTGCTGTTTGAGGCATCGTTCTCTGATTCCCTCAGCAAAAAACACGCTACCCATCTGATTGCCTTTCCCCTAAAGAAATCCAGAACTCCTGCCAGGATGCCCCAAGTGCCTCCTCTGGAAAGCCACATTGCACAAGCCACCCAGGAAATAATGACCCCAGCATGGAAATTCCTGCCACCAGAGGTTGCTCTTACTTACCCAAAACAAAAAAAAATGTCACTTTGAGTCTTAAGGTTTTGAAAAGCTATGAAGTAGCATGTGACCCAAAGTTTCACTGTCTGTGATGGGCTGATCATTCAATTTTGCATTTTTGTTCCATGGTGTTGCTGTACATTTGTTTCCCAAAAAGCCTGTCACGATAGACTCCTGGGAGCTGCACTCCAATTGTTCAGGAGAGTTTTTCTCACCAATTCCACGGCCCGTTTGTGAGTTGAACCCACAAGCAGTTATTAAGTTCCCCCAGAGTTCTTGGTGTGTGTCCATGCTGGACACCAGGTGCTCGAGTCTCCTGGACTACTGCTGTGTATCCCCCAAAACTATGACTATGGGGCCCACATGGGGAGATGGCCAGGAGAGAGCCCCGTCATGGAGCCCTAGGGCCCGGCTGTGGTTCATAACAAGAGCCAGTGACCAGCTGGGCACAGTGGCTCACACCTGTAGTCCCAGCACTTTGGGAGGCCATGGCAGGTGGATCACCTGAGGTGAGGAGTTAGAGACGAGCCAGGCCAATATGGTGAAACACTGTCTCTACTAAAAATACAAAAATTAGCTGGGCATGGTGGCAGGCGCCTGTAATCCCAGCTACTTGGGAGGCTGAGGCAGGAGAATCGCTTGAACCAGGGAGGCAGAGGTTGCAGTGAGCCGAGATCGCGCCACTGCACTCCAGCCTGGGAAAGACTCCATCTCAAAAAAGAAAAAAGAAAAGAAAGGCAGTGACTGATGGGCCACCCCTGCACTGGCCACATCCCACTGCCACAGTTGGTTTCTGGGGTTCATCTGCCAGCCTCCCTGGGACGAAGGGCTTGTGTGGCTTTGGTCATTGTGCCCTCAGTCCTCTGTTTCACAGCCCAGTCCCCTCAATGGTCACCACGCTGGGATACAGACTCCACTTAGCCACAGACTAGATGCTGATAAATCCCTGGGAACCCTTGACATCTTCCATTTTAAGTTCTGACAATGAAGATAAGCTGGAGCGTGGCTGGAATTGAAGTCTATAATTACTAATTTCATCTTTGGGCAGGAAAACAAGGACGGATTTTTCAGTCACTTGCAGGCCTAGCCAATCAGAGAGGTCTGTGAACCACTGCTTGGAACATCTCACCACTGAGGACAATAGCATGTGTTTAAGGGTCCAGTTTCCAAAGCAAATGGGGCAAAGCTAATGCTGGAGCAGGCAATGAGCTGCGCAGGCCTTGGGCTGCATCCACCCTCCAGAGCCAGCCTCCTACCTGGATGTGTCTTCTCTGTGGTCAGGACTTCCGGGCGTGTCCTGCTGCTTCCTTTTTATATTCTGGCTGTTCCCAGGTGGTTGCGCAGACCTGGGGGTCTGAGCTGATGAAATCCTCTGAGCCAGGAGAAAGAGAAATTGGAAAGGAAATCAGATAGGAGTCTCTGAAAACACAAAAACATTTATCAACAGTGCACCGACCATAGCATTCAAGGTAAGGTCATTCACTTGCTGTGCCATCCAACGAAGCACCTACTATGTGTAGCACTGAACGAGGCTTTGAGGATATATGGGGGGCAAAGCAGAGGTGGCTGCTGCTCTCATACATCAGAGAAGAAACTAAGTTAAGCAATTCCAACTGAACGCTTTAGCAGAAAAGCAGAACTGCGGGCACCTGTCATACTCTGTGGTCGCTCGCTCCCTAGAAGTGGAACCATTTAAACTAAGGCTGAACGTGTCCGGTTTGCTTGCGGCACTACTGAAATGAAAGCACATTTTCCTCCCTCCACTCCTGATGGCTTCACATATCAGAATTCAGCTGGAAGCCCAGGGATAAAATTCACTGAAAGAAGAAAACGATGAACCTTAGAAATCTCGACCCAACCACGTGGGATCCTAACCACTCTGAGAGCTGGTCACCCTCTCTTTCACTTCCAGGATAAGCTTGTCCCCTGGTCAGTTGATCCGTTGTTGTTGTTGTTTTTATAATCTATATCCATACAGACTAGTTGATTTTTAAAACCAGGATGCAAAAATATAAGGCTCAATCAAAACTTTAAATCACAGGACAGAGATGAGATTTTAAAAAAACAAAACCCAATTTAAGTGATGCTAATTTTGTATAACATAAAAATCAGAAAAAGGGAAAGGGCTTTTGTAAATCCCAAGCCGTATTTCCCAAAGCAGTGATTGTCTTTTCCTTTTTTTTTTCTTGTTCTTTTTTTCTTTTTTTTTGAGACGAAGTCTTGCTCTGTTGCTCAGGCTGGAGTGCAGTGGCATGATCTCAGCTCACTGCAACCTCCACCCCCCAGGTTAAAGCGATTCTCCTGCCTCAGCCTCCCGAGTAGCTGGGACTACAGGCACCCGCCACCACATCTGGCTAATTTTTGTATTTTCAGTAGAGACAGGGTTTCACCCTATTGGCCAGGCTGGTCTCAAACCCCTGACCTTGTGATCCACTCACCTCAGCCTCCCAAAGTGCTGAGATTACAGGCATGTGCCATGGCGC